GCATGCAAAGCTTTAACACTAGAAAAAGCAACTGTCACAGAACCTCTTGCTATCTTGAATGCCATCTGCAAAGGAAAGCACACATTAGGACCACAGTAGGGCTCTCCGCCCTGGAGCCCTCCATGTCTACTGCTTTATTATCTTTGTCTTTCCAGATACAGATCTATTCTGCAGGTGGGCACTGCAGTCTGCCTTAGTTGTCCAGGTCCAGGTCTACTCTGCAGGTGGGCACTGAACTGCACTGCAGTGCTGTCTTAGTTGTCCAGGTCCAGGTCTACTCTGCAGGTGGGCACTGCACTGCACTGCAGTGCTGTCTGTCTTAGTTGTCCAGGTCCAGGTCTACTCTGCAGGTGGGCACTGCACTGCACTGCACTGCAGTGCTGTCTGTCTTAATTGTCCAGGTCTACTCTGCAGGTGGGCACTGCACTGCACTGCAGTGCTGTCTGTCTTAGTTGTCCAGGTCCAGGTCTACTCTGCAGGTCGGCACTGCAGTGCTGTCTGTCTTAGTTAGGGTCACTACTGCTGTGACAAAACGCCATGACCAAAATCAACTTGGAAAGGAAAGGGTTTATTTCACTCACAGTTCCATATAACAGTTCATTATCAAAAGCAGTGAGGGCAGGAACGTGGAGGCAGGAGCTGATGCAGATACCACAGAGGGATGCTGTTTACTGGCTTGCTCAACCTGCTTTCTTATAGAACCCAGGACTACCAGTCCAGGGATGGCCCCACCTACAATGGGCTGGGCCCTCCCCCATCAATCACTAATTAAGAAAATGTCCTACAAGCTTGCCTATAGCTTGATCTTATGGGGGTGTTTTCTTAATTGTGGTTCTTCCCTCTCATTTGACTTTAGCTTGTATCAAGGTGACATAAAACTATCCAGCACACTGTCTAAAGATCTTATTGGTGGCTTTTTCCAACTCCCATACCTCCTAAAAACTAGGCACCCTAGAGGCACTGTCTTCAAGGGGCCCAGTCTCCAGCTACAGGCTGTGTAAACTCCTTTTGAGTTCTCTAGAGGTGGAGGAAGTGGTAGCTACAGTACTATAGTAAGGTTTTGCAGGAATCCACATTTGGGGTGGGGGGTGGGGCAGCCTGCTTTTTCTGCATTGCTACCTACAAACACTGAGGAACACAAATTACCATATGAAGCCCTGCCTCCACAGTCACCTGTGTGTGCTAAGGATTCTGTACCCCTGGCACCACAGGGACCCACACAGGAAATGCCAGTCATCACTAGACAAAAGACTCCATTGATGCTTCAGCAACACATCAAAGGGCATGGTTTTCAAAAATGCAGAGGTGGCTTCATCAAGTGCCCTATCTGTGTCTGTGTGCAGTATTTCAAGTTGTCCTTTGCTACCTCTAAAAATTATCAAAATGGCCTGTTCTTTGAAAACTCAGGCCCAAAGGTCTGGAATGACCGGGTGGCGGTGGCACACACCTTTAATCCCAGCTCTTGGGAGGCAGACGCAGGCTGATCTCTGTGAGTTCAAGGCCAGCCTGGTTTACAGAGCAAGATCCAGGACAGGCACAGAGAAACCCTGTCTCAAAAAACCAAAAAAAAACAAAAATTAAAAATTAAAATAAAAAAATAAAGGTCTGGAATGTTCTCCTAGTTGCAAAAAAGTTTAAACCACAATAAACAATCCTCAGAATAGAAAAAGGAAGGCTTTCTGTTGTTGTTGTTGTTGTTGTTAGGGTTTCTCTTCGTAGCTCTGGCTGTCCTGGAGCTCACCCTGTAGACCAGGCTGGCCTCGAACTCAGAGATCCACTCATCTCTGCCTCCCAAATGTTGGGAATAAAGGCATGCACCACCACTGATCAGCAACATTTTTTTTTTTTTTTTTTTTTTTGGTTTTTCGAGACAGGGTTTCTCTGTGTAGCTTTGCGCCTTTCCTGGAACTCGCTTTGTAGACCAGGCTGGCCTCGAACTCACAGAGATCCGCCTGGCTCTGCCTCCCGAGTGCTGGGATTAAAGGCGTGCGCCACCACCGCCCGGCAATCAGCAACATTTTATGAAGTTAAAAGTGACTTTTTTTCTTGAGAAAGAGTTTCATATAGCCTCAGAATTGTATGTAGCTGAGGCTAGCTTTGAACTGTTTCTCCCACTTTAGATTCCCGAGTGATAGGATTATCTGTATGAACTACTCACTATACCTAACAGACTACCATTTTTGAGGAATGCCACAGCAGTAAATACATATCATGTCAGGAGGCCATGGTTCCTGTAGTAGACAAGAGGCCTGTTGAGTGTATTATTCAGTTTTTTCTTTTGTAAATGATGAAAAACGGTGTGAAAGTCTTATATCTTATTAAACTTTTACCCCTTGGGCTGGAGAGATGACTTGGTGATTAAGAATACTTAGCTGCTCTTCCAGAAGATCCAAGTTCAATTTCTAGCACCCAAATGGGGGCTGCAGTAGTTTGAATGTAACTGGCCCCCATAAGCTCATAGGGAATGGCATTATTGGGAGGGATGGCTTTGTTAGAGTAGATATGGCTTTGTTGGAGGAAGTGTGTCACTGTAGAGGAGGGTTTTGAGGTAACACACACACACACAGGCCACACCCAGTATCTGAGTCCAATTCCTGTCACCTGAGCAAGATGTAGAACTTTCAACTACCTCTCCAGCACCATGTCTGCCTGCTTGCCGCCATGTCCCACCATGATGATAATGGACTGAATCTCTAAACTATAAGCCACCCTATTAAATGTCTTCCTTTATAAGCTGCTGTGATCATGGTGTCTCTCACAGCAATAGAGACTGTAAGACAGGGGCAGACTACCATCTATAACTCCAGTTCAAGAGGAGCCAACACACTATTTTAGTCTCTACATTTACACATATACACACAGGTAAAACACCTATCCACATAAAATAAAAATCTCTAAAATAAATAAATTGGCAGAGGCAGGTGGATCTCTGAATTTAAGGCTGGCCTCGTCCACAGAGTGAGTTCCAGGACAGATAGGGCTACACAGAGAAACTCCTGTTCAAAAAAACAACAAAAAACTCAAAACAAAACAACAACAAAATTCCCCCTTAATGATATAGCTCAGTCCCTAGAGCTGTATAACCCTGCCTGGTGGACACTGTAGGGTACTGGGAAGATGGAGACCGAGATGAGGAGGTCAAGGTCATCCTCAGCTACACAGAAAGTCTGAGGTCAACCTGGGATACACAAGACTGTGTCAAAGACAAAACTCAAAAGCAACTAATACAAGCAAGACAGCTAAAGAAAGATATGCAGAACAAGCTAGTATAACATTTATTTAATTGAAAAGGTTTGCAATGTTCCTTTTTGAAAATGTTTGTTTGTTTTTGATTGTTCAAGATAGGGTTTTTTGTTTTGTTTTGTTTTTTGTGTAGATCTTGCTCTGTAGACAGGCTCACCTCAAACTCAGAGATCCTTCTGCTCTGCCTCCCAAATGCTGGGATTAAAGGCAGCTGCCATGCCCAGCTGCAATGGTACTTTTTAGACTTGTTTTTTACAAAGTGTCTTTGCAAGGCAACAATCTGTCTTACAATCATTTAATAGCTCAGGAGACAAGAAAGTATTAACACATAAATTGCCCTTAGGCAAAACTGCTTTCTTTTGTGCCACTTAATATTTATCATAATGGGACATTTAGATCTTAAAAACACAGCGCTGGTAGTCGATGTAGAATTGGGTAAGTTCTGGCTGGTAGCCAGCGCTCCTAGCCACAGTCATTCCCACAGCCGCTTTCCAAAGGGTGAACAGCACAGGTGTGCCATCTGGACTCAGACCCTGGGTTAGATTTACTTTTTGCTTTGTTTTATTTGAGACAGGGTCTCGCTTTGTAGCACTGGCTCCCCTGAACTTGCTATACAGACCAGCCTGCCTTGTGAGTTAAAGGCGTGCAGCCACCACACCCCAGCAAGACTCTTCAAAGATTTCTCCTTGTTGATCTTTTTTTCCAACATTAGTTCACCAAATTGGCTGGGGAAGGTCAGGCAAGATGGCTGAGAGGGTAAAAGCATCTCATGTGAAAGCCTAAGTTCCACTCCCAGAACCTACCATGGAAGGAGAGAAAGTTCTCCAGAAAGTTGTCCTCTCAACTCCACAGCATACATATCACACACAATTAAAAAAAAAGTAAATGAATGAATGCTAGGGTAAACTCTCACCCTGAGAAAGCTCTTAGCCGAGTTACATTTTTCCCTCCCAAAGCATGTTCAGACACCTATTTTGTTTTTTTCTGCCCAAGGACTATAAAGTTCTATTTTCTAGAGAGAGTGAAGGCTTGTTTGTTTCTTGTGCCAGGGAACTGAGCCAGAGGTTGGAAGCCTAGGTAACAAATCTAAACTGTGGACTAGACAGAACTTCAAAGCCATAGCTATAATAAAAATGTGTTAAGAGACACAGCATAACAGAAATGAAAATTCACACAGCAACCACATTTTGCAATTTTTAATTATCTCCTTTTTTTTCCCTATCCTCCCTTAATTATTGCTTAAACAAAGCTCTCCAGTCTCTGTCATTAGCCTGGTGGCAAATGAAGTGTTAGTAGCCATGTGCCCTGTTTAATGTTTTATCTGAAGCCTTAGTCAACATTTTCATCTGACTGATAGACTCAAGACCTAGGCCTCTGTTAAACAAAACATCCACTCCCAATGAAGTGCAACTGGTTAAAAACAAAACAAAAGAACAACAACAACAAACTGCTGCCGTTCTTTCTTGTTGCAGACACACACTGTGGATCTTTGACGTTATGTGCATATTTGCAAACAACGTGAAGTCTACAAAAGCGGGAGCCACCGCTTTAAGATGAACACTAATCTTAAGGAAGCAACAATGAGAAAATACACACTTCAAGAGCTGATTAAATACAAATAGTAATTAACTTCGGGAATAAGCAAGGTTCGCACTGTCCATAGCGGGTCCATGATCAGCCCGCGGGGTAGACGCAGGCGTCGTGAGGAATGCTCAGCGGCCTCTCTCCCTACCAGCGTCCCCGGGCGTCCCGCTTACCCGGCTGGACGCAGCATCCCTGCGCTCCGTACCGCGTTCACGGGCCAGCCGACCAACGCCGCCGGAGAAGGAACGGCAGAGAGGCGGGCGAAGCGCTTTGCTTCCGGGCCGCAAGGCCGCCATGGCCGGCGCGCCCTAGATTTCGCGACGCACGGCAGAATCGCGACAGTGGAAAGGTCGGCTTTACGGCAGCGTCGCAAAGGCTGCGGCGACGCGCGGCGAGGCCGGCCGTGCACATTCCCTGAGAGGCCTCGGCGGCGGGTCTCGCACCGGACGAGGCGAGGTCAAGTTTTCCCCGGGCTCGGAGCTGTGTGGCCGGCTCTGCGAGGGCGGTGGCAGCGCTGCGGAAGCGGAGGTGAAGGAGCGCGATGGCGCGTGCGGCACAGGTGAGCGCGGCGCGGCGGCGCGAGCTTCGTTCTTCCCGGCTCGGGCGCTTTGCCGCTCCCGCGGCGCAGCCCCGCGCCCGCCCCGCGCCCATTGTGAGGTCAGGCGGCGGCGCGTCCGGGCCGGCCGAGACGCCCGGGAGCGGCCGCCGCGGCCAGTAGCTGCCGCCGCCTCCGCCGGCCCCTTCACCGGCTGCCCGGGTCAGACCTAACCGGGAAGGGCGAGGGGGATGCCGCTGGGGGCCCCGCTCCGGTGCCGCTCCCCGTGACGGGCCGATCTCCCACCTCGCCGCCCTCCGCGGCAGCCAAGACCGCCGCCACCTAGACCTCTCCGGGGCAAAGCGCTGCGAGGGCCCGGCTTGGACCCTCCCCAGGGACTGAGTTCTGTGGTCTGCCCGCCGGAAGTGAGCTGTTGGACAGAAACCTGAGAGCGTGGGAAATGTCTCTAAGCACGCTTACGGGGAGGCGAGTGACCGAGTTAATCACAGTTATGACGTTTTTGCGGGGCGGGGTGGGGGGATTGGAGTCAAGGGCGAGGACTGGGGTGTTGCTTAGTTCCACTTTTTGAAAAGTAAAAGGTTGGCCCCCTGGCAGAATGGTACCCCTGTGAGTTTGGAAGAGCTACTGTTAACTTCCACAAGGGTACCCTGCCGGTTCCAAAAACTAGTTTAGGATGATGAGATCTAAGGAAATGGTGTTGCCGCTAACCTGATGGTTTGGCTAGTATGAAAGTGTATGCAGCTCACTTTCATAGTTGAAGATAGAATTCACAGGCCCAGACATCCACCCCAGACTGGACCCTGAGTAACTTCTGTCTGTTCTTAAAATCCCTGCCGTGTCCCCGTTTTTGTTTTGCTTTTGCTTAATGCTAAATGGTTAATGGTTTTACCAAGTAGCCCAGGCTGATCTCTGAACTCATAATTCTCTTCTATCTCCCTCGTGCTGGGCTTGTAGGCATACACTAGCACACCCAGCTTGGTTTGTTTTGTTCCTGTTCAACTGTTTTTAGGAGAGGGAGTTGACATGTCACATCTTCTCTTTTCTCAAGTATGTCTTTTAAATCTATAAGGTGACAAAACCGTGTGTTTTGGTGCGTGCCCAGGTGCCAGAGTTCAGCCTGCCCACTCACCCCCACCCCACCCCCCGTCATTTCTGTGGTGTCCTTCCACTTTGTTTTTTGAGGCAGGACTTCTCATTGTCCTGAAGCTTCTCAATTAGGCTAGGGTAGTTGGCCAGTAAACCACAGAGGTCCCTCTACCTCTGCCTTCCTGGCACTGGCAATATAAGTGAGCACCATCTTGCCTGGCTTTTATATTTTATTTTATTTTATTTTATTTTATGTGCATTGGTGTTTTACCTGCGTGTGTGTGTGTGTGTGTGTGTGTGTGTGCACCACGTGTGTGCCTGGTGCCTGTAAAGGCCAAAAAAGGGAATCAGATCCCCTGAACTGGAGTTACAGGAGGCCGAGAGCGGACATGTGGGTGCTGGGAATTGAACCTTGTCCTCTGGAGAGCATCAAATGCTCTTAGCCACTGAGCCCTTTCTCCAGCCCCTTCCCTGGCGTTTTTAGATGTGTTCTGGAGCTCCAACCTGGGCACTTAACTGACAGCTATCTCCATAGCCCCAACCAGTCCTTTTAAAAAATGTGCCTGTTAGCCGGGCAGTGGTGGCGCACACCTTTAATCCCAGCACTCGGGAGGCAGAGCCTGGCGGATCTCTGTGAGTTCGAGGCCAGCCTGGTCTACAGAGCTGGATAGGATAGACACCAAAACTACACAGAGAAACCTTGTCTTGAAAAACAAAACAAACAAACAAAAAGTGTGCCTTTTAAAAGCGAGTTTAGAATGGGTTGATCTAATTATCCTGCAAAGACTGTAATAAGTTACTCTTGCCATCTTTCAGTGCTTGTGAAACTGAACACAGAAGTATGGATATGGGAAACCAGCACCCTTCCATTAGTAGGCTTCAGGAGATCCAAAGGGAAGTAAAGAGTATAGAACCTCAAGTGGTGGGCTTCAGTGGCCTGTCGGATGATAAGAATTACAAGAAACTGGAGAGGATTCTGACGAAACAACTTTTTGAAATAGACTCTGTAGATACAGAAGGAAAAGGAGATATTCAGCAAGCTAGGAAGAGGGCAGCGCAGGAGATAGAACGCCTTCTCAAAGAGCTGGAGCAGAATGCAAACCACCCACACCGTATTGAAATCCAGAACATCTTTAAGGAAGCACAGGCCCTTGTGAAAGAGAAGATTGTGCCCTTTTACAGTGGGGGCAATTGTGTGACTGACGAGTTTGAGGAAGGCATCCAGGACATCATTCTGAGGCTCACACATGTTAAAACCGGGGGGAAGATCTCCTTGCGGAAAGCAAGGTACAACACGCTAACCAAGATCTGTGCAGTGCAAGAGATTATTGAAGACTGCATGAAGAAACAGCCTTCCCTGCCCCTCTCTGAGGACGTGCATCCTTCTGTTGCCAAGATCAATTCTGTGATGTGTGAAGTGAACAAGGCCAGAGGTACTCTGATCGCACTTCTCATGGGCGTGGACAGTACTGAGACTTGCAGGCACTTATCGTGCGTGCTGTCAGGGTTGATGGCTGATCTAGATGCTTTAGATGTGTGTGGGCGTACAGAGATCAGGAATTATCGGAGGGAGGTGGTGGAAGATATCAACAAATTACTGAAATATCTGGATTTAGAAGAGGAAGCTGACAATACGCATGCATTTGACCTGGGACAGAACCATTCCATTCTAAAAATAGAAAAGGTCCTCAAGAGGATGAGAGAAATAAAAAATGAACTTCTCCAGCCGCAGAGCCCTCCTGAATTGTGTCTGAGCTCCAAGACAGAACTTCAGGGCCTGATTGGACAGCTAGATGAAGTGAGTCTTGAGAAAAATCCCTGCATCCGGGAAGCCAGGAGAAGAGCCGTGATTGAAGTGCAGACCCTCATCACGTACCTGGACCTGAAGGAAGCCCTCGAGAAGAGGAAGCTGTTCCCTTGCGAGGAGACCTCCCCACACAAGGCTGTGTGGGGTGTCCTTGGAAACCTGTCAGAGATCCAGGGCGAAGTCCTCTCGTTTGGTGGAAACCGAACTGATAAGAACTACATCCGTCTGGAGGAGCTACTAACCAAACAGTTGCTGGCCCTGGATGCTGTTGACCCCCAGGGAGAAGAGAAGTGTAAGGCTGCCAGGAAGCAGGCTGTGAAGCTGGCCCAGAACATCCTCAGCTACCTTGACATGAAGTCGGATGAGTGGGAGTACTGAGGGCCAGGAGCTGACCTCACTGGTTCGCACTTTATCTGCTTCCAGAGAGCTCTCAGCTCGTGGGGCCTAAATGTAATTTCTATGTGCATATTCAATCTCAGTATTTATGATTTAATCAAATTATATTCAGTATTTCTGCTGCTTTTGATGTTGCAAAACGAATATTATAGCACATTAACTTTTCCATCTGGTTCATTATCCTACAATGTGTGGTTTGTGTTGATTTTGTGTTTTTAATGGGAACATGAAAAGAGCAGCATTCCTAATGTTTAAATGGGTTGTGCAAGCATTAAGTGCAGAATTTGAGAGTCTAACTCTAGCTAAACTACGAGAAGGAGGAAACTTGGGCTGAACGGAATAAAGTGCAAGTGCAGAAACAGTACAGAGATGTTTTGTTACACTAGACAAAGCTGGGCCTTTTTAAGTTACAAGGCTGATTAGTCCTTTATTTTATGGGGTGGAGTTTTGGTTCAGATGGTCTGTTTTTTTCATAAACATTTTTGCTTGAAAAAAAAAAACTTCTCCTAGGCTTTTCATTTTAGAGGGGGGAATCTTGTGTACAGCATAAAAAAAAATTAATGAAATCTAACAACCAGAAATTTGAGACTGCTTGAGGGAGGGAAAAAAATCAGCTATTCGATAGCTTCAAGTCATTTTTGCTTGTGAGGTCTCAACTACAATTCTCCTTCTTAGTTAATAAGAATGAAGCCAGTGGACCTTTAGAGAGCTGTAACCGGAGGGTGAAACCTGTAGTGTCCAGTGTCAGATCACCAAAGCTGACGAGGAACATCTACCTGTAGCAGACATGAGTGAGATGGATTCCTCTGACAGTCACAGCTGTGAAACAGACATGCTGTTAAACATGACATTCACACCGTGATGCCAGAGACTGTTGGTCATCCAGGGGGACCAGGTCTCTGCAGCTGGCATCCTAAACATTGCCTGTACCTACTTGGAGTGAGGCTGTGGGGTACCTGATGATATTGACATGAGGACCCCTCTTTTGCCTGAAAATTAATTATAGCCCGTTGGGTATATAAAGGGTTTTATTATTTGTTTTATCCTTCTGTTAAAGGGCATGTGTGTTTCTGTGACTATTTTCTAAGTAGCCATCTTTACGGTTGTCTATTAATGTAAACAGGAACTCCCCAAATTCTGCAGTGTCCTGACAGTATCCCAGCATCATGACTAACAGACCTCATTCCATGTCCTCATTTCATTACAAGATCCTGTGAGAGCCAACCCTTTCAACTCTGGTGAGCTGTGTTGGGCTTTTTTTGTTTGTTTGATTGTTTTAGTTTTTTTGTCATTCTTTGCGCCCCCTCCCCCAACACACACAATATTAATTGGGAAACTATGCAAGGAAATTCTCTTTAAACAGCTAAAAGTATGACCGATGAGTGAGTGAGTTAGCTTAAGTGCACCATCTCAGAACAGTAAGTCCCCAGGGCTTCCGGCAATGAGTCCTCCCCACTAGAGTCCCAAGAATCCTCCATTCGGCCAAAGCCGTGTGATAACTGGTCTTCTATGTCATGACTGTAGACCGCCCTTCAAGTCTGACTGCAGGTTTTTAAATTGAACTCTCTGAGGAGTTCATGAAAGTCATTCAGTTGCACCTTTCCCGGGGTTACTTAATTCTTTAACTTTGTTTCTTAAAGTTACACATTTGCCTTTCCTCTCAAAGTATCCATTGTCCTGTTGAAGCAGATTTTCTCTTTAAAGTGGTTTTCTGTGACTTGCTAAGACATCCCACCCCCACTCCACCCGCCAATGGGATTTCCCCGTGGATTCTTTAGGTCCTGGAGGTGGTCACATGACTTTGTGTGGCTGTTGGGAGAGGCTTTGTCTCCTGTTACAGTTCCTTGGACCAAATTATCTCATATAAAGAGCACTAGCAAAGTTGAGACTGATTTCCTGTCCCTCTTGGGACCCCTGTGTGTCACTGTGGGCCACTTCCTGGACTTTTTAACCTGGGCTCACCACTGTAGTAGTTTCATGGTCATGTGTGAAGAAGCAGCTGCGGGTAAACCTGTTTCCTGGAGAAGCCAGGCCTTTGTCGGCATTAAACCATGCCAGCCCTGTTTCTGAAAAGAAAGAAATGGCTGGGAATATTCACCATCTTCCCTGAAATTTGGATAGCTTTGCCTTCAGTTCATTCTTTGTCCACCTAGATGAAAGTCTTGTGACAAAGTCACTGTTAAAATAAATGGAACAAATGTGTCTACTCAGTCCAGTTCAATGCTTTATTTTGCTAAAGATGCCTAGAGATTAGCTGTAGTTCCACCAGTTTTTCTCATTTTAATTTTTTTTCCTTCCTGTTTCTAATTTGTAGCTGGCTTTGAACTCCTGACCTTCCTGCCTCCACACCCCAAGTGCTGGGATCACTTGGCTTCTTTTGGCTTTAATGCAATGTCCCCTGGGTGGTGTTTTTTTATTTTTGTTTGTTTTGTTTTGTTTTTGAGCCTCAGCTAATTCTATACATGCAGATTGTTTTTGTTTTGGTTTTTGAGACAGTTTCACTATGTAGCCCTGGCCTGCTCACACTTGCTGTAATCCTTCTGCCTCAGCCTTGAGAAGACTAAGATTATCAGTGTATGCCACCAGAGCTGATGAAGGCCTTGCCATTTTTAACTGATTGGATATTTTCCCTAAAGAATTGCAGAAATGGGGACTGGAGAGATGCCTCAGTAGTTAAGGACTACTTAACTACTGGATTCAACTCCCGGCACCCACACGGCAGCTGGATTCAACTCACGGCACCCACACGGCAGCTCACAACTGTCTATAACTCCAGCTCCAGGAGACCCAACACCATGGCAAAACACCAATGTACATAAAATAAAAATAAGGAATTGCAGAAACAAGCCGGGCAGTGGTAGCACACGACTATTCCCAGCACCAGGGAGGCAGAGGCAGGAGGGTCTCCGTGAGTTCAAGGCCAGCCTGGTCTACAGAGCTAGTTCCAGAATAGCCAAGGTTACACAAATAAACCCTGTCTTGAAAAAACAAAAAACAAAAATTGCAGAAACATTTCCCCATGATTTTGATGTGTAATCTGTAATCCAGAAGTGTTTCCAGCACACTAGTTCCTACCTCTTCACTATTAACCATGTGACCATTGTATTAGGGTGTCTAAAAAATTCAGTATTCTCTTGACATAGACACTTTAGGTTCACCCTTAATTATTACTGAAATAAAACAAAGCTCTTACTGGACTTGGTGTGGAAAAGGATATGAATCCAAAGCGTGTATTGTGTTCTCTTGACCTCTACCTTCTGCTTGTCGCCTCATGTTTTGTGTGACTTTGGGAAGGAGCCCTTTATGCCCTGGTGCGCCAGGCAACTCCTTAAGAGTTAACATAGTACTGTATGGAGGTAATGGCCTTGGCTAGGTCCCTGGACCTCAGGGCTTAGGATGGGCCTGGCCCACTGCCCCTTTGTTGCATAGGAGTTGACCTTTTAAAAAGGAGAAGGGGTTGCAGGATCTGGTCTAGAAAAGATCATCTTCCTGAGAAAATCTCAGTTACACTGCAGGCTACTGCAGAACCTGTCTGTGCCCCCCCAAAACATGCCACACCCCCACGCCAGTAGGAGAGTGGGCTCTGGCCTTGGCCCAGGTATCCACCCGAGCAAGGGCTAGCTATTCTGTCTAGAATCAGCTATACTGTAGTGGTTCTCACCCTTCCTAATGCTATGACCCTTTACTACAGTTCCTCATGTTGTGGTGACCCCAACCATAAAATTATTTTTGTTGCGACTTTATAACTAGTTTTGCTACCATTATGGATTGTGATGTAAACATCTGATAGGTCACCCCTGTGAAAGGGTCATTTAACCCCCAAGGGAGTCAAGATCCACAGGTTGAGAACTGCTGCTCTAGGAGATAAAGGATATGGAATTGGCCATCCTGGGAACTGACAAGCCAAGATCTGGAAACCCAGCAGCCCCACAGGACAGTTGAGCATAGAACAAGAGTTCCCTGTAGCAGGGCGACACCCAAGCCAGCTTGTGCATGGCCCTAGTCCAGTCCTGGAAGTAGGACTGGGTTCCGCCCTTCCTGGTTGGGACGTGTCTGAAGCCACCTACTTCCCATGCTATAATTAGATCCTTTACTGGGTAAGCTACCATTACCTCCCTGTGGGCCAGGTGCCATGCAGTGTGTCCCATGCACTCTTAAGTTCTCAGAGCCTGCTGCAGGTTTAGTACTATCCATAGATGGTCACTGTCACATAACTAGTGGGAAGGCAGGACAATGAAGTGCAGGTCTACATAAATTAATTTACCTGGGCCAGGGTGGTGGTGGTGGTGGTGGCGGTGGTGGTGGCACACACTTTTTCCTCTTTTTTTTTTTTTTGGTTTTTCGAGACAGGGTTTCTCTGTGTAGCTTTGCGCCTTTCCTGGAACTCGCTTTGGAGACCAGGCTGGCCTCAAACTCACAGAGATCCGCCTGGCTCTGCCTCCCGAGTGCTGGGATTAAAGGCGTGCGCCACCACCGCCCGGCTTGCACACACTTTTAATCACAGCACTCAGGAGGCAGAGGCAGGCGGATTTCTGAGTTCAAGGTCAGCCTGGTCTACAGAGTGATTTTTCAGGACAGCCATGTCTACACAGAGAAACCCTGTCCCAAAACAACAACAACAAAAATTTATCTGGGAAGTCAGAGCAATGGCTGGTGTGTGGTCCCCCAAAAGAGGATGATTCTACCACCTTAAGGTACAGCATGAACATCAGGCTTGGGAAAGCTCCCACTGCAAGAACACTGGCAAAAGAGTTGAGTTTAGACAACACTCCAGTAAACGAGGGTTCACACCACAGTTCTGCCTCGGTCAAAGCCAGAGCTACTGGTGATGTAAACATCTGATATGTGCCCCCCAAAACTTGGGCTTCTGGAGGGTTAGTAGGTGTCACACTTCAGGGTGAAGGGCCGGGTGATTCATGAATGGAACATTTGGCTGCGATGTCACGTTGCTCCAAGCTCTCCAGTCAGCATTGGCAACACGAGTCCCTTTCAGAGACAAGAATGCTGTGGCTTGCCTGCTGGCTAATGTCTTCCAGCTGTGAACCACACCTGCAGAAATTACACCAAGGTGAAGTTCATGTCTAACTACTCAGGGTGCATGGACCTGTCCAGAGCAGCAGGGCCTCGGGCTGCCCTTCCATCCCCACTGACCTTCACTCTCGGTTCATTTCACCGGGTGCCAAAAAGCCTTTGAATACTTCGGCCATTTCCTGAAGCTGCCTGCTTCGCACATGAACATTGCTAGTTGTCTCCAAGCTCATGCTCTGCATGTATCTCAGTGCAGCCCTTTGAGGTCCTAAGACATGGACTCCGGTGGTCCTGAGTGAACAGAGGTGAGTTGTGGACAGCCAGCCTGTTTGTAGCCTGGGCCCTGTTTCCACATTGCTCCTTCCCATCTCTAGGCTTGGAGGTGTCTCTCCCTTCACCACTCTAGTATTGGCTTGCTTGTCCCTGGCCAGGCTGCCTTGCCTTTCAAGCTGGCCTCGGTACCTTGTAGCCCCAGGGCCTGGTAGGAACAGACACACATATGCCTGTGGGGTGAGCTGTTCTTTAGGGTGGTGTCTTGGCACATGGCAGGCACCCAGAAGGTACTTGCTGAACAATTAGGTAGAGAGGAGGTTTGATTAGCCTTTCAGGCTGCTTCAGAGAAATTCCCAAGTGCAAAGGACCTTCTCTCTGCTGTCCCTTAGTCCGTTATCTGGTGCCACTTTGTCAGGAGCTCTGGTGGGATGCAGAGTGCCCCATGTGCATAAGACCCTCAGACCTGCCATGAATGGGGACAGATGACCTCCAGAGCTGACGGTCTCACCCTGTGTCCAGTGCTGCTGCCTCCCTATGCAGTGTTGGGTTCTGGCCTTAAAGCTCACCTAGAAGAACTCAAGTAAATGCTGAATTCATAGCTGTTCTGTGGGGGAAAAAATGCTGTTTTCAGGGGTGGGGTGGGTGATCAGAGAGGGACTGTGAGGAAGCTATCCTCTTTACAACTGATTCCATGGCTGGGTGGTGGTGGCACACGCCTCTGATCCCAGCACTGGCGAGGCAGAGGCAGGAGAGTCTGGCAGTTCAAGGCCAGCCTGGTCTACAATATGACAGCTAGGGTCACTCAGAGAAACCCTGTCTTGAAAAACTAAGGGATGGGAAGAACTGATTCCAAGGGGCAGGAAATGGCTTGGTATGCAGAATAACTGAACTGGGGGTGCAGAAGAGGACACAGAATAACCAAGTCTCTGGGACAACCAGGTGTCAGGAAGGTTCAAAGCCAGGTACTTATTGTTCAGTGTCAGTTTGGGACACAAGTGATCCTCACACAAGGGCCTGCACCCTGGGGTGAGGGCCACCATGCAGGGTCATGTGCGGTTGAGAAGTCTGGGGAGGCTTCCTGGGGGAGATGGGCACCTATGCGGAGAGGGCCAGCCCAGAGCCACCATGGCTAAAGACCAAAGTTGTGCAAAGTTGTGACCATATCACCATACCCAGGGATGGGGCAACAGCTCTATCATTTATTGGGGGGCCCCAGCCACAATTCCTCAGCAGAGCAGTAGAAGTCAGCCAGCGCATGTGGGCAGGTGAAAGCCACCCTCACCTGCTCCTCCAGGGACTGTCTCCACCCAACAGCTGGACCTAGCTATCCTTCCTTCCCGCCTGCATGGCTCAGGTGCCCTGTGCCCCTCACCTCACCCTTGGCCCAGGTCTGTTTTCAGCTTCATTGCTGACTGAGAGGCATCATGTTGGACCCCACCCAGCTGCTCCCCACCATGCTCACAGAGGACATGTCAGTGGCATCAGGACACCCTCCCATCACGCCACTGTTCTCATCTGTGTCACGGCGGTTGGGGCCTGGTCAGAGGTTTTCAAGTTCTTGGCCTCTTATGTAAAGAGTCGAAAATAAGGACTCACTTGTATTTGTGGAAGAAGCAGGCCAACACCATCAAGATTGATAGTGGGCCACATGAGTGAGGGTACTCAAGGGTCATGACGATTGTTTGGGACTTCTAAACAAAGAAGGAGTTAGTTATTAAGGGGTGTAGTTGGGTGGTTTTCTTAGGATTTGTTCTGCTTCTTCTGCCTTGGTATGTTCAGGTCTTGCAGGTGTAGAATCACTAGGTTCTGATGGTGTCATATAGGTCTTTGTGTTGTTGCCTGTATTTTTGCACTGGCGTCTACTCATCTCTTCCTCTGCTCGGTGCAGGCGGTGTCTGTGTCTGAAGGTGCCTCTCTTGTTCTAATTGTTAGTCTTGGTCCACTAGGAGTTCTTGGTTAAATCGGTGCTGTTGGGCTCTGTTTCTCCGGAGCAGCTTAGTCCAGTCAGTGTTAGTGGGTTCTGTCTCAGGGAGCAGTTGTTCCCAGTTGGTGCAGGGTGGGCTTATGGCTCCAGTGGTTGTTAGGTTCATAAGGGTTGGCTTTTTGTTTTTGTTTTTGGTGGGGGAGCAGGGAGAGGTAGCTGTCTGGTCCCTGGAACTCTGATGGGTGGGGCCTAGGGGCTAGAGACCTGATCTACCGGTCTGGAGATGGGGGCTTACCTGTTCCCAGTCGGTGTAGTGTACAGGCTTATGATTCTGGTGATCTGGTTCGGTGGCTGGGCGGCACCTTCTTTTGTGTTCTCAGGTCACGTTTTGCTCATTCATCAACTCCTCAGCTGATCTTGTTTCCTCAGACTTCGGACTGTAGGATTCTGAAACCTCTCCCGAATGGATCTCAGCTGAGCAGGTTGTTCAGTAGGGCAATCTCACCAACACCTCCAAGTTGTCAGGTTTCGCAGGATCGGCAGCTGGGCCCTGGGTTGGCCTCAGACAGAGTGTTGGGATCTGTTCTGGTCGCATCCCACCAGTTGGGTGGTTTTCTAATGTAATTGATAGATGAGGTCATATATGTTCACTTTGCTTATTGCTTACGTCCCTCCCAATAATGCACCTGCTTTTAATCATATTCATGTTCAGTCATGCATAAGATGGCAAATAGTTATTTCTAGAAGTTTACTGAAGGACATTTTTGTTATTGTCCTTAAGATGTTATATAGACCAGGCTGGCCTCAAATTCACAGAGATCCACCTATCCTGCCTCCCAGGTGCTGGGATCAAAGGTGTGCACTACCATGTTCAACTGAGGATATAGTTTTGTCTTAGTGCACCTGCATCCAAAACCAGTTCAGGCTGGATCAGGCCTTCTATTATTCATACATAGATACTTTAGGAATACA